ATTATGTCCCATTTCTCAATTGGGATAGTGTGTTTTTTGAAGGTTGGTTCCAAGCAATATTCGCCCCTACCCACCAGTGTTCTTCGGTATTCTACAAGTTGGGAATTTACCATAGAATGAAGCACAAGGATTAGGTCACACAATTTTTTTTGTTGCCACTGTGTGGACAATTTCAGCAAATGATTTACAGACTCACAGTTATTATTTGTCCAATTTCTTTCAAGATATGATTTCTTTAGTGCTGGTGCGATTACGTTTTCTTTAATTAGAGGAAGCAACCGGGAATGAAAATATTGCCGAAATCCCTTTCCTTCATATTCTTGGGGATGTTTTGAAATGATTTCTTCTGTAGATTGCAGTCTGTATTCAAAACTATCAATATCTTTGGCCATGGTGAGACCTGATGGCCCAAATATGGATGATACAATCGCTTGTCTTCCTTTTACATCTAAACCGACTTTATCAGTTAAATACTTTATTGTGTTCATCCTTAGATGCCGAGTGCAAAGAATATGTGTGGCGGTTGGAAATGATCTCATACAAGCTTTTCTAATAGCAGTTTCATCATCAGTTCCTACAGTCATCATCTTGATTTCTTCATCCGATAGATGTGCTGCTATTTTACTCATAAACGTATTGTATGTCCCAAAATCTGAATTGCCATGTAAAAACATTGGGCCAAGAAAGAGAGGGTTTTGTCCCGTAGATCTTTTAATAATTGCCAAATTTTTATACACAGAAGAGGTCACAAATGCTTGTTCTAGGTTATACGTTTTTTAATCAAATCCTAAGACGGAACCACCTTCTACACAACATGATCTCCTCATATCTTTCAGCTGATGTTCTGTGAAAATAATTATAGAAGGAGTCTTATTTTTGTTATGTGATACCTGTTGCACAAATTCATGATCATGTGCCATATTTTCAATTCTCAGGACGTCATCGGCAAAATTTACCATTGGACCGCTGTCTTTACGTGCTTTTTTACGTTGCAAATACTTTCTGTTTTGGATTTGTTTGAGATTTCGTTGCCTTTCACTTTCTTTCAAGCTTGAATCCTTATTAAGTTCGTCAACCACAGCTTTTGGATTTTTATGCTCGACTTTTTTAGCAATTTTATTAAGCACGTTACTGTGTGACCTTATATAATCTTCAGCTACTGGATATGATCTTTTTGAATTACCGTGATTTCCGCGACCAGGGAATTTGCCAATGTATTCGACAATTGCGACATCCTTTGGCAAATAATCGAATCGTTCAGGAGTATTTTCAAACCACGTAATTCTTCTTCTGTAGGAAGACAACTGCTTTAATTTTGCATAATTCCT